CGACCTGACGCAATTACCCGACTCAGTCCTTCAGAACCCGTCTCCGATACCAGCCTGGCGCTCGCCCCTGCGCAAGCAAAATAAATCGACCATTGTCAGACTGCGATCATTCGTATGCACCGCCGATGACGCGCCCGAAAACACGTCAATATGAGTTCGCCGGAATATTACGAACAAATAGAGCGGAATACAGGCTCTTTTTGAACAGACATAGCAGTGATCTCATTGAATTGTTGGCACAAATTCAGTAGTTCATATAGCGCTATGCCTGTCTCGTTTTCTGGAGATTCCTCAGCTCATAGCGGGCATAAACATGCTTGACAACTTAACAGGGGCCCCTCCTGTAAATTCCTTTTCTTAAAAGTGACCGTCAAAGCGGTCACCAGACGAGTCACCAAATCATCACCCGATTCTCTGGCTCAAGATAAAGAGCATTACCCTTACTCACGCCAAAAGCTGTATACCAGTCATCAATATTTCGAACAACCCCATTAGCGCGGAACTGATTCGGCGAGTGTTCATCAGTCAGGATCTGATTACGCACGGATTCCTTATTTGATAACTCTTGCCACGTTCTGGCCCATGAAATAAAGAAACGCTGTAAGCCTGTCATGCCATCAATAACGGGGGGCTCACCATTCGGGTAATTATCTTTGGCGAATCGTTTATAGGCACTAAGTGCGATATTTAAACCACCTAAATCACCAATATTTTCACCGAGTGTTAACTCGCCATTTAAGTTCTGACCATCGACCTCAAAGTTGTTATATTGCTCCACCAATTTGGCGGTTTTTTCTTTAAAATGCTCTTTAGCATTGTTACTCCACCAGTTGCGTAACCGGCCAGTTCCATCATACAGGCTCCCCTGGTCATCAAAACCATGCCCCATTTCATGACCAATGACTGAGCCAATCGCACCATAGTTATATGCAGGATCAACATTAGGCTCGAAGAATGGTGCCTGTAATATCGCAGCAGGAAACACAATTTCATTTAACACAGGATCGAAGTAGGCATTCACGGTCTGTGGCGTTATGTTCCATTCCCATTTACGAACAGACTGACCTATTTTGCTCATGAGGTTGCGACAAGTCCACGCTTCCACTTGCTTAAAGTTATCCATCAATGTGTCAGGTTTCAAATTGATCGTACTGAAATCATTCCACTTATCTGGATAACCGACTTTAACTGTAAACTGTGCCAGTTTCTTCTGTGCTTCCTTGCGTGTAGCTTCATCCATCCAGTCATTATCTTTCAAACGCGTATTAAAAGCTGCGAACATATAACTAATTAATTTCTGTATTTTCTCTTTTGATTGTGGATAGAAATATTTTTCTACATAGATCTGCCCAAGTGGTTCACCCTGTAGTGAATTGACAATCTGAAGTGCTCGCTCCTGACGAGTACGTTGCTTCTCAACACCATTCAGTTTTTTCTGGTAAAAATCAAAATAAGCATCAGATAGTGCATTATTCAAATAAACAGCATGGCTATTGATGTAATGAAATATCAGAAAATCTTTTAAAACAGAAACAGATGTTTTAACGAATATTTGTACCGTTTGTTCTACAGCAGTATCATTTTCAATCACTATTTTAGCCAATTGTTGGTCGGTTAATCCCCAGTACTGAATAAAGCTATTCCACGAAAAGCCAGAGGTAAAACTTTTCATTTCCGCGAGAGTCATTGGGTGGTAGTTTCTGATGGTATCCCGGCAATTTTCAAGGCTCCACTGGACTTCAGCAATAGATTTTTCAAAGTCAAGATCTGTTGTGATCTTTTTTTAACGTCTTTTTCACCTGTTAATTTCAGAATAGTTTCAATATAACTGATATAATTTTTACGGGTTTCTCTCATTTGTGGTGTATTATCAAGATAGTAATTACGATCAGGTAATCCGAGTTCACCCTGGCCAAGATACAGAACATAAGTATCCGGTGATTTTGAATCCAAACCAACCCAATAAGCAATTAGTGATGTATAACCGGGCAATGTCATTAATCGGCTAATATCTTCATGATCTTTTGCTTGCATGATTTTTATTAAATCTGTTTTCACAGGCATTAAACCGGCCTTTTCAATACTGGCCTCATCCATATAACTGAAATATAAATTCAGAATATTTTTCTGATTATTACTCAGGCTACTTTTGGGTACCGCCTCCAGTTCTTCAATAATGGTTTTAATTT